TTCAAGGCATTTGCATTTCTTGAGGAACAAGAATTGGGGGGGAGGGGGCGCTGGATATTGATGCTGTGGAGATGGCCGGTTCTGGATAAGACAAGCAGAAGTCAATGGGGCAGAGCCCAGTTCGAGGAGGTCAGTGGGGAGGAGACTCATGCAAGAGAAGGGTAATCAGGGGAGCCAGATGAGACATGGGGAGTCCCGGGGGGGGTTAGATGGCCCCCAGACCCCTCGCACTCTAAATTTGTGATCCCTTTTGTGACTGAGAAATGCCTCCTGCAGAGTTCGGACCTTGAACTCACTCCTTTTGAGACTCTTGACATCTTGAGGTGAAGGGGAGGAGAGCCATTCTAGGCATGGGACAGCAGTGCCAAGGCACAAAGGGGGAAGCTGGAGCATCGTGTGTGAGGAACACAGAGAAAATGTGTTGGCTGGACACGAGGATAGGGGAGAGGGCAGTGAATGTGTAAAACGTGTAACAGCCTGGAAAGTTAAATCAGGCCCAGGTCATGTGCCGCTGTGCAGTCGTTTTTCAGTCATGCCCAACTCTCCGTGACCCTACTGGGGTTTTTTTTGGCAAAGACACTGGAGTGGTTTGCAATTTCCTTCTCTAGCTCATTTTACAAGTGAGGAAACTGAGGCAAATGGGGTTAAAAGTGATTTGCCCAGGGTCACATCCCTGAGGCTGGATTGGAACTCAGGAAGATGAGTCTTCTTGATTGCAGGCGTGGCGCTCTTTCGAGTATGGAACAGTGATGTTGGTGTTGGAGCCCAGAGAAGTTCAGATGAGTTTAGTTATTTTCCCCATGGCCCCTAATCAAAGATCCTTCAAGCCATGAAACTGTTCAAGTGAACAGGCTGTCAGGAGGTGAGCGTCTCATCATGTAAGTGATGGTGGTTCCTGGGCATTTCTTTCCGTGAGCTAATTACAACGCGGGAGGTTCCAGCCACATTAATGGACTAGATGAGGCATCCAGGGCACCTTTGGCTCCGTCTGCCACGCTTGCACTACCTGTGGGCGGAAGCCTCCGAGGCTCTGTAGGCAAGCCAGCAAGCATTTTTAAGCGCCTACTGTGTATGAACCACTTTGCTAAATTAAGCTAGGGATATAAAGAAGAAGGGGGGCGGGGTCTCCTGCTCTCAAGACACTCATAGTCTAAAAAGGACGAGAGAAAACATGAAAACTATATATAGAAAATATCTACCTATGTTACATATATACATATGTATTTGTATACACACACACACACACACACACACACACACACACACACAAGCTATAGCCAGCATAAATATGAGGTAATGAACAGAGGCGAGGCATCAGCATTGAGGTGGAGGGGCTAGGAAAGGCTTCTTTTAACAGCTGGGTTTTGAGCTGGGTCTTGAAGGGGCAGGGGAGGCACCAGGGGATGGAGGTGAAGAGAAAGAACATTCCGCACATGGCGGAAGGGCCTGGCATCAGTGTAAATGGGCGTAGAATGTCCTCTTTATCCTGAGCTGGGCAGGCCTCTGCCAGAATGAATGCCGGACATAGCTGAGACCCCCTTTGACAGAAAGCCTTGCCCTTCTCCCAGTCAGCCCTGTTTTCTTCATTTCTTGTTCCTGGCTGTACTCCTGGACATCTCCATGATCATCTTCAGGAACCTCTTCATCCTACAAGATCACTTTAGTCTGAGAACTCGCATTTGGTTGGGGCCCCCTCAACCCATGGTGCCCAGAACCCCAGATGGTGTCTGACCCAAGCACACACAGTGCTGCCCCTGGTGCATCCCCATGGCGGGAAGCTGTGCCTCCCATCTTCAGATTGCACTGTAGCCTTTTTGGGTGCCTCAGGTATCCACCCACACACCCAGACCCCTATTCCAGAAGTCTGCCCATCCGTTCTTATACTTGTGAAGCGGAGTTCTGTTGGAGCTAAGTGTCAGCCTTTACATTTCTGTCTGTGGAATTCTTCCTTCTTGGGCTCATCCCAACGCCTGGCCCTGTGAAGTTCTTGGACTGTATTATTCTCTCCCCCGGTTTTGTCATGGGCAGATTTCATAAGCATGCCAACTCTTCCTTGTCCAGATGGCCTGGGGCCACCCAAGCACAGATCCCTAGGGCCTTGTAGGGTACCTCCCTCCAAGCTGATGTCAAACCAGGGTTGAGCAGTCCAGCCAGGCCAGCCCAGCCCACAACTTTATACATCGTCCACAAAGAACGTATTGAGACCATCAAATGCTGTGACCCTGGGCAAATGCCTGAGATCATAGATTCAGGTCTTCTTTGGAGGTCATCCAGTCCAATATTGTGTAGAGGAGACAGCACAAGCCCTGAGATCGAAATGTCTTGCCCAGTGACATATCTAGTTAGTATCAGCCAGCATTTGAACCCAGGTCCTCTGACTTTCAGTTCAGCTTTTCACCCTGCCCAAGGATCCTCTGATAAAAAAAAAATCCAGTGTTTTCTTCTGTAATACCTGCATTCTGGAGAAGTTTGGGGGGGAATAGGGAGCCTTGCAACATCCCCACCCCCTTAACCCTTGGGCCTGGGGGGGGACTCTGCTGAGAGCCAGCCTGCTGGCCACGTTTGTTGTGGAAGCAGCTGTGAGTGGATCTGATAACCATCCCCCAAGCAGGCTTGGGAACACAGGAAACTGTACCCAGCCCAGAGAATAAGGCTTCCCTTGTCCACCCTGAACCCAGGGGGAGGCCAAGCCAAAAACGTCATCAGCTTTCCAGTGTGGGATTGTGTCTGCGATTCCAAGGCAACCTTCAGAACTGGTCAGATTTTGCCCTCCCCCAGGGGCAGCTCTGTGGGCCCCATTGTGCTCATTGCTCTACCTGAATTTTCCTCATACGCGTCTTTGGCTCCGAGTTCTTGGACTACTTACCCCAGGGCTCCAGGTTTCTTGGATTTTGTCTCTGTCTTTTTTTTTTTTTTTCAGTCAAGCATTTAGGATTTGTCTTCAGAAAGTGAAACTTTAGTAACAGGTCACTCAACACCACCACCCCTAGAGATTCCTGGACTCTGGATGTAGTTGATTTTTTTTTTTTTGTTAATGGACCTTCTTTGAGAATTAGTCATGGGGACGTATAAAGGTTAAGGATCTTGTTTTGGGGGACAGGGCGGGGGGGGGAGGTAACTGGGTCAGGGATGACACATGCCAGTCCAGTTCTCCCTGGGGTGGCAAAAGTTTTTATTGGGGGTGGGAGGTGGAGGGAGAATAGGTACAGCTGTTCTGAGGATCGCATGAGAAATAACAATAATAGCAATAACTTTTAGCATTTCTGTAGGACTTTAAGGCTTGCAAAATGAGTATTTTATGATCATGACAAACTTGGGAAGTAGGTGCTGTTTATATCCCCATTTTACAGGTGAGGAAAAGGAGGCAAATAGGCTAAGTAACTTGCCCAGGGGTCACAACAGCCAATAAGTATCCGAAGCTCTATTTGAACTCAAGACTTCCTGATTCCATTCCCAGGGATTTTCCCCTGGACTGTTCTGGGGTCTGAGACCTGTAGAAAGACTAGAATATGGATTGGTGGGTGGGGGATGGGTACAAGGCAGTCACTTTCCCTGCTGGGAAGGGGTGACTTTCTCAGATTAAGGGTCTGGTCCTCTTGCCATTAGACCTCTGAGTTCCAGGCTCCTTTTTCCCCATGTGACCTGGGGTGGAAGGGGTGGATCACTTCTAAATCTGTGCCTCTTAGTGGAAATGCCTGGAGTCAGATGGTCCTTCAGATTCTAGGCTGGAGCCCTACTGTCATCAGGGTGGTTTGAATCATAGTTTGGCCACTTAGTAGCTGTGAGACATTTCACCTCCCTGAGCCTCAGTTTTCTTTTCTATAAAATGGAGACAATAATGCCTGATCTTACGCTGTTGCTCCAAGGACGGGAAGAGAACACCAGTACCCCTCTATATAAATGGCTAGTTCAACTCAGGGCTCCTGTTGGCCCCTGGGGGGCAGTCTCTTTTTAGATTTTCCAGGTGTTATACAGGTTTGTTCTTACGTTATTGTATAATCACCTCTCAATAAATGTGCACCTCCCTATCTCCAAGTCCCCAACAAACAATTCAATTCAATAAACTTTTATGCTAGGCATAGCACTAAGTCCTGGAGATACAAAAAAAGGCAAGAGACAGCCCCTGCCCTCAAGGAATCTACAATCTGATGAGATTAAATAAAATAAGTAAAGAAAAAGGAAACAGCTGGCTGATTGGTATCCACTGTTCATCACCCATGGTCCCCCTCTCCTCTCTGTAGAAGAAGAAAACCAAGGTTGCTCAGTGTTACTTGATTCAATCACAAATACTGCCTTTTCATGTGACTGTCAATTTTCCCTCTGATTTTGCTCACTTCTGCTCTGTCTTCTCAGTGCCTCATGGGGCAGTGATTTTATAGATGCCTGACCTGGGGTGGAGGGTAGGGGATTTGGGATAGCTAGGAAGTGTAGGGGGAATCTTTCCTGGTCACTCTTCTCCCTAAATGACTCTTAAGTCTCTCTCCGATCCTCTGAATTTGTTGTTTGTCCAACGTAGGGTGGCCTTGCAGCACATCTCACCCTTAGGGCCTGCCCCCATCTCTCTAACTGAAGGAGGGAATTGTAGTAAGGCCTCTCTTAGCCACAGTTGCTTTGGTTTCTTGCTCTTTCTGTTACATTGTATTCCTGCTCCTATTCCCTAGTCTTTGCATCAGTTGCAATGATTCTTCCCATGCTTCTCAGGACCTGTTGTATGTATCTCCTAGCTCTGGGAGCTGCTGAGGGAGGCAGCTGCCCGGGGCCACAGGGGAGCAGAATCTCTCCCCCTAGTACTAACTCCATCACCATCAAGTACAACAGTCTGCTCTACCATCTCTGAGAGATGAGCATTGACTTTGTCTCTAATTCTTTATTATCACAAAATAGAAAAAAAAACAGGAAATAAAGATTGTCTTTGAAAGCTGAAAGTCTTTATAGCTGGGAAGTTAGATGGGCATGTTTCATGATCATGTTTCTTTCTTTCTTTCTTTTTTTTTTTGTAGTTTCTGGATCCAAAGCAGGGACAGCCCCATTCTTCTCTGACATCGGAGGGAAGTGATCCATCTCCTTCAGGTAAGAGAAGCTGACTACACCATTTGGTAGCCAGAGAGGGAGTAGAATCGGGTTATTGACCTCTGGCAAGCCATTTGAAAATTGCAGACATAGTGATCCATTGGCAGGAGACCAGGGAGGGTGAGACACGTCTAACAGGAGAGAGCAGAGGTTGCTCCGAAGCACGGTGGTGCCTAGGCTTGATGGATTGTTACTGGATCCCGTTGCTCCAGGGGACCTTTTCTGGAGGAGAGGTGATGGTGTCTGACCAGGCTGCTGGTTTTCTCAGGATTCCTCATCTGTAGCATCCGATCCCTGCTACCCTGTCTCCAGACACCCTAAGAGGTCACGGGTGAGCAGTGTGGGCAGAGATCTGGCTCCTGTGGGTTCCCAGTAAAAACCCTTCCTGTTTGTTTACATTGGAGGCCTTTCTTTCCAGGTCCCACCAAGAGGATTGTTCTTGCGATGCCCAGAAAGGACACAGAGACGTTTTTCTGTGTTGACAGCAGGTGGTTGTGGCTGCGCCTTTTGTTCCAAGACAAAGACATTATTCTTGTCCTGTGAGCGTTCAGAAGTTTTGAAAACAATAAAGCAAGAACCAGATTGGGGGTGGGAGAGTTTACAGTAGCCACTCTGGCTCCACAACTGAGCTCCCATGAAGGCTTCTGGGAAATGGCGAACCTTCTTTTAAGGCAGCTGTCCCGAAGCCCAGCTCTTGTGCCTTAGTAGGGTGTGGAGATGACCCTGAGGGCTCATAGGCTCTGCTGGCTGAGTGTAAGCTCCTGCAGTTCTTACTGGCCATTGCCCTGGTCACAGACTGTCTTTGGTCTAGGACTATCCCAGCTATGTTGGGAAAACCAGCTCTGGCTACCAGGTAAGGAATTTTTTCAGAGCTATTTCTTCGCCCACAATTATCTTCTAAGGCAGATGAAGAGTTATAAATTGGAGGGCATAGTCACATGGGTAAGATGGACAGTTTCTGCCTGTCTGTATCTTTCTTTTGCCCCCACTGCTCAGCTTGTCTCACAATTATTTGGGAACACAGATAGAATGCAAGCTTCCTGAGAGCACAAATTTTTTCTGCCTTATTTCCTTCAATTCACCATTCACTGAGTGCCTACTATATGTAATTCAGTGTGTCAGGGCCTGGGGGATGCACAAACAGAAGACCGGGTATTATCAGAGATCTCACGTCCTAGGATGGTACAATGAGTGTGGAGGTAAGGAAATAAATAAGACCTACAAAGAAATTGCAAGAGGAAGAGGGAAAGCAATAACACTCAGAGGGATGGGGAAAGGCCCCAGGAGGTGGCCCCTGAGAGGAGCTCAAAAGGAACCTGGGAGAGCTGGACAGTTCACTAGGGGCTCCAGATGAGTCTCTGTCCATTATTCACCCACGTCAGGTTACTTTTCTTGGTTTTCATCTTTAAGCCCAGCAGAGGCAAAGGCCACGCTTGCTACCAACCTTGCCACACTTGTGTATTCCATTGTTCCTCGATGGTGACCACAGTGGGATGAGCCATGGCTTAAGAGCCTGGAGAGAGGCTTCCAAGTATGACAGACCAGCCTGGACAAAGGTTCAGAGGTAGAAAGGGGCAAAAATAGTGTTTGTGGATTGTTAGGTTCATACTCAAGTTAAAAAAGGTATGAAGGGAACAACTTACAAATTGGAACCTAGTCCACGAGCATCTATTTGGTTTCCAAATCTCTGACCTCTTTGGGAGGATGAGCTGGCTTCTGTTGTTGTCTCTTGACAAAGAATAGTGTCTGGGAGGTGTCCTGTGTCTTGGTTCTCCTCACATTTGGCCCCGGCCTCAGCCGTCATTCTCCCTTATCTCTTTCTCTCTCTGTCTCCGTAGCATTAGACTGCATCGACTCCTCCACCTTCCTTTGAGGTCCATGATATTGTATTATGGTAGTTTTCCTTCTCTGACTGCCCCTTTTTGATTTTATTCATGTCCATTTCTCCAACACTATATTGTGAATGGTAGATGGTTGTTCTCCAAGGTTTTGCTTCTGGTTTGTCTTTCCATGAGTTAACTTACCCATTTCCTTTGCTTCCACAAAGCAGATGACTCCCCTCCCAAGTCTATATCTAGCCCTGCCCTCGGTCCTCACCTTTCTGCATTCTTCTGGATGCATTTCTCTCCCCTACCATTTCTACCAGTGTCCTGATTCATTGTCAATTTGCACTAAGCCTATATCTTCTTCCTCCTCCATATCTACTCTTGACTTTCCTCATTCCATTTATGGTTCGGACCTTTGTAATCTGGTCCCAATGCACCTTTCCAGCCTTACCTTCCATTAATCTCCTACATCTTCTCTATGCCCCAGGTAAACCCTATCACTTCTTGCCTGTGCGTGGGCCTTGGCTCATGTCTGGACCATCTTCTCTTTCCCTTCTGCCTATTTTAATCCCACCCAGCCTTAGACTTTAGGGCAGATGCTACCTGTTTCATGAGCTCTACTTTGATGGTCACGGTTAGAGGAGACTTTTCTGAGATGCCCTGCCACTAGTGGCACATCCTAGAGGGCCTTCTCCTTCCTACCTGGCATAGTCACCTTGTCTTGACTGACCTTGGTGAATCTCCTCCTCTGGGGGGGCCTCTTGCAAAGGCATGGGTTTGGGGCCCAACTTGAAATGATTGCATTGGTATCTAGTTCAGATGTTTCTAACTTGGGGTCCACAAACATTCTTTTCTTCCTCTTCAAATAAAGTTTTGACAACTGCACTGCCATTCCTGCAGATTTTACTTTTTTCTGCATTCAATAACATGATTCTAGGAAGGGGTTCCCAGGCTTCACCAGATGGATGCCAAAGAGGGTCTGGGAGCCAGAAATTGTTACGGACCCATGCTCCACATCGCCAGGGAGCTGGGGGCACTGACTTCATTCCCAGTGTCATTTCTAAGCAGATTTAAAAAGGGGATTTTAAAGGTCACTTTTTCTCCCAAATCTATTTAGTGAGTATTTATCAAGTGCCTACTATGGGCAAAGCCCCTTGCTGACCGTGAGCATTCAGAGGCACTGATGTGGAAACTCTGCAGCCCAGCCTGTGTACCCGGAGCAACCTAGACCAATACAAGCCTTGCAGTGCTCACCTGGTCCATGCTGAGGATGAAGTGGGGCCTCGCCTTGCTGACTTTGCCTGACTTTGTTATTCTCCTTTGGGCAGGTGGTTTACACCTGCCTATGGGCTCTCTTATTTGGGGGTGGGGAAGCGGGAGACAAGGGGGTCCATGGGACAGGACTTGGGATTTCCTTTTTATAGGGAACTCCCAGGGAGGAAGCTGCCCTTCCCAAGGCAAAGCAGCAACATTTCTGCAACTCCAAGCATGGTGTCCTAAAGGTGCTAATGCAGCTCTGGGCTTTAATAGCTTAAAACTCCCCTGAGAATTTTGGGGTCCCCTCTGTGTCATCAGAGGTCAGTGGGACCTTTCAAAGCTTTTCAGTCTAACCATTTAATGTAACCAGTGTTTATTATGTGCCTACTGTGTACCAAGACAAAGTAGACCAGAGTCCCTGCCCTCAAGGCGCATCCATTCTAGCAGGAGATTGGTTCCATCCAAAGCTTTGGCAGAACTTGTCTCTGGTCAGGTCTCTCCCTCAGGCATTCCCCGTTCCAGCCAGTGGTCCCTGAGCTCTATGATAGCGCCTCTGCTGACTCTGCCTTTGTACACCCTGTTCCCTCCTGGCTGAAATGCCCTCCCTCCTCCTACTACCTCTCTGAACCCCTCTTTCCCCCAGGGCTCCCTCCCACAGGGACCTTTTCATTCTTTTGCTTCTTTGTGGCCCCAGGGCCTGACACCAGGTGCTGGTAACTGCTGCTTGGTTGATTTTGTGCACTCTTCCTGGTCCCCAATGACTGTGGGGCTACAGTGTCCCCAAGCCTTGGGCCTGCTTTAAGCTTCAATAACTTCAGAAGGATCACTGCTGCAAACTTAGAAAAGGCATCACTTGGAAGTTTATCTGAGTTTCTTTTATACTCAGGATTTTTTTTTTTTAAATTTTCAGTAATACATTTTAATTTTAAGAAGTTGGGGAAACCCTCTCGTTAGACATTGCACATATGACAGCTTCTGATGACCCTTTCTCAGATCAGTGAGTCAGTAGAGAAGGTCCTCTGCCTTGTGAAGTCCCATGAGAACAGTGGAAGATGCACCCAGATGGCATTCTCTGTATGATTTTAAGGCAAAGGTGACAAATACAATCCTTTCAGCCACTGAGCAACAGCTGAGGATTGTTTTTACAAGGTTCAAAAATAAAGCAATGTATTTCTTGAGCCGGTGGGTATGTTGAACTGCAGTAAGAACTATATCAATATTTTACTATTTTAAATTGCTAACCTTTAGTTTTGTGTGTGTGTGTGTGTGTGTGTGTGTAACATTTCTAGTTCTGAAAATATTAAAGCTTAAAGGTGCACCAAGACTTTTGGGACACACTTTGTATATTATATTGACTTACTTGTTTGTTTCCCCCCCCAAGAAAAGGAAGTCTTCTCTTGGACAGGGACTGTTTCATTGTCTCAGTATCTTTCGTGTCCAACACAGGGCACACAGTTGGCATTTAATAAATGCTCATTGCATTGCATTGCTTGGACCCAGGAGCCTACTTGAGGAAGGTCAAAGGTAAAGGCGGCTGTGTGGAGAGACAAAGGCCATGTTGGTTTGGGATTTGCTTGGTTTTTCTGTTCTCAAGTTCTTTTTGGTAGCTGTGCCAACTAGGGGGGTCAGGCTGTGGTCCCATTCTTTATGTTACCAACTAGGGGCTTGCAGGTTGCCTCGTCCCGGCTCTGAGGAGAAGGTCTGCTGCCGGGCTCAAGCTGAATCCTTGGGCCACTGAGAACTTTACGGGAAGCTTTGCCAAGCTTAATCAGGAATATGCCTGTTAAATATAGAATCTCCAGGCAGCTGCCTTATTACAGAACTCTAATGTAATTTGGCTGAGGTCATCAACCACAGGAGTGAAGCTCAAGGAATTTAAGACAGCAAGAGCCAGAGCCCGGCTCCTGGCTGCCCGCT